AGAGGCGCCAAGCGTCCGCTGTCCGTCAGTGGCTGCCGCCTGGCACCGGCCGGTGTGTGGTCCCCACCCGGGTGGGTGGTGGCCTCACTGGGTCCTATTTTTGGCGGCCTGGACCACCGGTCTGCTCCGGGCAGCGAGCGCTGACCGGGGTGTTGTCGCGGCTCTGGTCTCCGCCCACGCCTGGTGACCGGCCTCTCTCCGCCGGTGGCTCGCAGCTGAAATTCTTCTGGTTTATCGACGGTTATTCGTAACTGAACGTGAACAAGATCCTCAGGCAGGGAAGAGGAGAAAATGACAGGGTGCTAAGAACCTAGCAGGCTGAACATGAAACCCAACACCCTCGTTCATGAGATACCGAAAAAGCCGGGGATGCCGGACAGACCACACAAGGCCCCTCCCACAGACAAGGTGGGAGGGGCCAAAGGTGGGAGACACCACCGCACGCACCAGGTTTGGCGGTAGAAGGCAATGAATCAACAAACCATGTCAATGGACAAGCAACGGTTCCCTGCAGCGAGGAGGTCGATTCGGATTCTGACGACTCTGGAGGTGGGAATGAAAACCAATCAGGAGAAGAAAACCAACCAACGAGAGGAAGCACAGCAGACGGAGTCACAATCAGCGCCCTAGCAGTGTCCAGAGAACGCTGCCCTGCGGACAGACATGGCGAGTGGACGGTATTCAGCAAGAGGCTGAGGTTGTGGAGGGGAAACGGAGCATAACTGGGAGGGAAATAGTCTGGTAAGTGTGATGAGACGCGCCAGCCGCGTGTATGTGCGCGCCTCTGCGCGGCGGCACGACCCTGACCGCGCGACCTGGCGGGACAGCACGGAAGAGGAAGCACAGCAGAGGCGCGCCAGCGGCGTGGCACAGCGGAGGTGCGCCAGAGAAAGCACAGAAGAGGCGCGCCAGCCGCGTGTCTGTGCGCGCCTCTGCGCGGCGGCTCGACCCTGACCGCGCGGCCTGGCGGGACAGCACGGAAGAGCAGACGGCACGCCAGTGGATTAGAGCCGATGAGTAAAGTCGGTCTCAACATAAATGAGACTGGAAATGGAATATATTAGAATGGCACTGTGACCGTAAATCTAAATGCAGGTAAATGATGTAAATCTCGGAAGATATGCAACACTACCACGAGAATGGGCCGAAGCGCGTACACATAACCATTTGTGGACTGTACAAACAGCGCGCTATGAGCACTGCTCTTGAAAAATTGAATTACTACAAGTGAGGCAGCTCGTTCGCTTGAGTGGCAATCGCGCACAACCAGTTTGGCAGCCGCTATACGTTATACGTTATACAAACTTCCCAGGACGCAATCGAGCGATGACGCATTAAGCGCTATGCTTACTAAAAAGTGAAATTGTATTGTCTAGAGCAGTTTTTGTACTTGAAAGCACATCAATAATTACAAGTAAGCTGATTCTATTGCATATGATGGGTGTCAAAGTCCTTCAAATGTGGAACATTCCCTTAACGGGAAATTGCAAGCGTTTTATCAGATGTTAGTGTGGATATCTTGGCGCGCATAAGACAAATCTTGACGTGTCTCGGGTAGAGTAGCATCTCTATGTCTCGGGTAGAGTATCATTTCCCAGACGCACAGTGGTTAACGCGTCCGCGTTAACCATTGTGTGTCTGGGAAGCCAGAGGTACGGGGTTCGATTCCCCGCGGTGCCCGCGAGAGTGCCTTTCCTGCCAGGGTGAGAGGCAGGCGACGCCATATAGCCGCAGCAGCTGAGTACGTCGTAAAGCCCCAATGACATGACATATATAGCGCCCTATTTGGGCAGCGTGTCATGGAGTTGGCACATATTAATTGTGACGTCACTCCAATAAAACTCCATACACAATCATGACATGGCCAAAGAGCACATGATCTTGGCCCAGATCATGACCTAGCTCCATGGGTACCTTCTGCAAAGCACATGCTGAGCTCAAAATCTTGATTTTAATAGTTAACTTTAAACGCAGCATTCGTTTGCCACACTGAATGCGTGTTGTGATGTAATTGTAATGTATGAGGCCACACTAGGTCGCGTGAGGATATGTAAGGTCGTTTGCGGTCGTACAAGGTCAATTATCTATGATGCCAATAGCGGAGGGGCCAGATGAACAAGTCTTACGCGTTTAACCGCCTTATCTTGTTTTTAAAGCTAATGACGTACAATTTTATGCACAAATATGCCTGCACCCAGTTTGTTATGAACATACTGCCAAGGGTCGAGGGGATTATGCAAAGTGCAGACAACAGTTATGCGATCTAGAGTACCTGTAGATGTATAATACTCTATTCCTGACCACAGCAAAGCATTGTACTGGTCACGTAAACCCGGTTAGCACCTAAGTTCTTTCATTTGGATTTCTTGTAGCGGCGGACCATGTCCCGGGACCGTGCGTCAGCATATAAGACGAGTGGGGCGATGACTCATGTCTGAGTGAGGGGAACAATCACGGCTCGGGGCGGTGCGTCACGGTGGCGCCGGCCAGTCGCTCGCAGATCGTATTGCGGGGATTAGCCTTGGGAGGAGTATAAGGAGTATAAGAGGAGGATAAGGAGGAGTATAAGAGGTGCTGCTCGGGCGCGTGGGGTGGGTCTCTCCCCGTCGGCGTTGTGTGCGGCAGGTCACCGCTGCGTGTGAGGCAGTCCGACCGATAATTTTTTTAATTATCGAATACAAACTATTTCGGCCAGAATGCCCGAGACCCCGGCAGCGGCTGCAGGCGGTGTGACGAAGTCCGCAAGACGATCCGGGCCGGCACCCGCGCGGAGGCGCTGGACCTAGCGAGCGTTCTCACACGGGCACGAGCCGTGCTCAGCGATGAACGCGTCGCTGTGGCAGCGGCCGTGGCGCGTGCAGAGGCGCCTCTACAAGCCCCGACGACGCATTTGGCGAGACGCCCACTGCGACGCTGCTGGACGTGCGGTGAGTCGGGCCACGTCGCCGCCGCCTGCCCGCGGCGTCGGACGGGAAGAGAGTCGGAGGACGCCGCGTCAGCGCGAGCGCCGTCTCCCCGCCATTGAGGGGCGCGCTGCCCATCACTTGGCTGGAGGTGAACGGGCGGATGGTCGGGGTGCTGGTGGACGCGGGCTGCACGGATGCGCTCGTGTATGCTGGCCGATGCAAACAATGGACACCGCGGACGGGAGAGTGGCCACGATTAGCGGCCGGTAGAACGGTGGAGCAGCCTCCCGCGACCGCTGGGACGGTGGAGCAGCCTCCCGCGACCGATGGAGCGGTGGAGCAGCCTCCCGCGACCGATGGAGCGGTGGAGCAGGCTCCCGCGACCGATGGAGCGGTGGAGCAGGCTCCCGCGACCGATGGAGCGGTGGAGCAGCGTCCCGCGGCCGGTGCAGCGGTGGAGCGGCGGGTCGGTCTCCCGCGGCCAGTGGGGCGATGGAGCAGTCTCCCGCAGCCGGTGGGGCGGTGGAGTATCCTCCCGAGGCCGGTGGAGCAGCGGCCGGCCACAGCCAGCCGCTGCGTCGCTAAAAAAGCGTGCCAACGCAATGACCGACGGCTGGGATGACGTCACGGATGACGAGATCCTGCACGCCCAGATCGGACACGTGTGCGCGCGCCTGTCAGCTGTAGACCCGGCGCGCGGCCAGTGGTGCTGAGCCGGAGACTGCGCGGTCGTTTCGACCGACGCCAGCTCGATCGCGGCCAGTGTCGTCGTCGAGACGCCGGACGGCGGCGTGGTGGAAGATGACTGTGACCTGAGGAAGCCGGACATCCAGGTGATGACCTCGTCTGGATGTGCCGCCGTGGTACGCGATGTACGGCAACATCTCGTCAGGCGCCGTCACGCGGATCGTGTCATCGCAAGTGGCCGAGGTGGATGGCGTACCGTGGCACGCGCGGGACCTGCGGCCTCGGTACAGCGATGCATTACGATGTGACGCCAGTGACAAGGAGGACGACGGACCCCTATACCTGGCCGTTGGCCCGTCACACCAGGAGGCCTCTGGTGCAGTCGCTGACAACCCGGACAACGCGGAGCACGCACCGACGGTGACCAGGACGGAACCGGTAGGCATCCTGACCTGTCCAGAGCAGCCGGCGGAAGAAATTGCGACGATGCCGCTGCGACGCAGCCAGCGTGTGCGCCGGCAACCGAGCCGACTTTATGGTGTGTCGAGTGATTGGATAGCATGAATCGTTGGTGTGAGTGTATGATCTTTGAAGATCAGGGGTGGGTGTAGCGGTGGACCATGCCCCGGGACCGTGCGTCAGCATGTAAGGCGAGTGGGGCGATGACTCATATCTGAGTGAGGGGAGCAGTCACGGCTCGGGGCGGTGCGTCACGGTGGCGCCGCCCAGTCGCTCGCAGATCGTATTGCAGGGATGAGCCTTGGGAGGAGTATAAGGAATATAAGAGGAGTATAAGGAGGAGCATAACAGGTGCTGCTCGGGCGCGTGGGGTGGGTCTCTCCTCGTCGGCGTCGTGGCAAGTCACCGCTGCGTGTGAGGCAGTCCGACCGAGAATTCTTCTCATCATCGAATACCTATCTTGATCAAGTTGAGACAGATGGCCTCCAGGTCAGCCTGCACTTGTACTTTTGTGTCTATAATACGTTTTCCCCAAAGCTACACCAAATAAGACGAACATTGTGAAATTGAACGCATATTGTCAAAAAGAACCGTTCTGGTAGGCTACTGGCGGACCAACTTTGAACAGCGACTAGATTTACCCGACCTTTTGGGGAACATGAATTGTCATAATGAACTCCCCACAGTCTCAATGCTTATATCTGTGCCCTCAATATTCGTCTTGACGTCTCAACATAGACTGTAACTGTAACTATCGGAACGACCGGTTTTGACATATTGCGACGTTCTGAGAAGGCACTGTCACGCACGTCATGGCCGCCGTTCTGGCCGCCGCACCAGACCAGGCTGGAGCGTGCATTCCTTTACTCAAAGGCAAGTTCTGCACAGTGCAACCATTACAGGTGGCGAAAAAAAAAACACGATGGGACTATCTCGATGTCATTCATTCATGCGTGGACCACTTATCCGGTTCTCCACCGTAATCCGAGTTGAGTGTGTCCGCAGGTCTCCAACCTGCCGAATCGTTTGAACACTAGTTGGCACATGGTCCTGAAGTCCAGCCAGACCTCCTGTGTCGCCTGTCACGAGCAGCTACCCAACGCCTCTTCCACCAAACGTGGCTTTCCCGACGCCTAATACGTCGGGCCTCGCTCACACGCTTCTTTCTGGACACTCGCGTTAAGCACACGCCCAAACGCTCCGCGACAGCGCCCAATGCAACACCTGACCTTGCGATGCGCAACATGACAAAGCTTCTCACGCAGCGGCGCCGCCACTCGGCGCGCCCTGAACTGGTATCCGTCCCCCACGGAGGTGGACGGGACGCCGGCTAGCACGCGACAGAACAGACACGTCACACGCTCTCCTTCAGCGCGTGTCGCAGAGCCAGACTTCGCGGTTCCGTTACCGTTTGGGCTTCTTGGGCGAGAGGCGCGCCGAAGGGCAGAGGCTGAAGTTCAGGCAGTCGCCGCAGCGAGGCGCCACCGGCGTGCAGATCTGCTGTCCGAAGCCGACCAGCAGCAGGTTAATCTGCGGGGTGTGAGGAGTGGTTTGAACAGACAGCGGGCATTTTCACAACGCCTTTTATTGAACGGGTATGTTTTGCCCATCATAGGCACACCCAGGTACAACAGGTTCAGTTCACAAAGGTGGCACGAATTTCCGGAAACTGCCGTCAAACTGCTGTTCAAAGTAATCTGCCGCGGTGAGCTAGGCCAAGGTACATCGCCAGACACAGTAAGTCACTGGTAATAAACTTATTTGAAACAATTTTACCGTGGTTTTGTCCCAGTCCTCCTATGATGGTCAACTGGATAGCATCACTGCCAGTTGGCGCCTCATGCTCACGGTCACTGTTGCAGGCGCGGGATACGAGGCCCTTTAAAGGTAAGACTCAGCCGGGGTGTGCACGCATGCCGGGGGCAACCGAGACGTGTAAGGCGCAATGGTCAAAGGTCGACCTCCACTCGCTACACAAGCGTTTTTATATGGACCAGGCCTAAAAAACGATTTTGAATTAAAAACGCTGAAACAAGCCCATTCGTCGCACACTTATTTGGTGTCTTTATTTTTACTCATTTTTCTCGTTTCTGTATGTCAATCCTTACGTCATACTTATTTTATTTTGTGTTTCAGTGGGCCTGCAAAGGCCCGACCTGCGTACGGACGCTACGGAATTATAGTACCACAGCGATACCTCGATTATGACGGCGTGCTCGTACGTAGCCCTGCTACCAAACATAACCCCGAAGTGATAATATTCCAGTTGTTTGAGTGTTGGTATGGCTGAAGATTCTTAAGACGGATTTCGCTCATTCCAGGAAAAATTAAAGTTCAACCTATTTTGGTGACACCGATGTATTTCGCCTCCACATCATCGAATCCACGGCGATACTTGTTCTCCATTTCTGTCATTTAATTCTGAATAGTTTTCATAAGTTGCTCTGGGTTCAGGGAACCTACTAAGTGCAGCTTGTTGCGTATACTCCGTACCCCCCGCCCAAGTTATATCGTCCAGATCAACGCGGAACTTCGTCCCTGCCCTTTCGCCAGAGGCCTACAAAATGTACGCGCGGCACAATTTGTGGCACGGCGCCCCGTGCCTAGGCTGACCCTAATTGGTAAGTTTCCAGTCAACCTTCTCATTGTACGTGGGCCAAACAATGCACCCGCTCTGGGACTCATAGCAGTGCCGCTGGATTACGTCCGTATCTTTTTCACAGGCCATGGAGGCGGTAAAAATGGCAGAATTATTCCCACTGCAGAGGGCATGTTGACCTCGCTCCGGTCCGTCTTCACCTCGCTCGACCCCGTTTCTCACCTCGTCACAGCCCGTCTCCCACCTCGCTCCAGCTGGCGTCTCACCTTGCTGCAGCCCGTGTCTCGCCTCGCTCCAGCCCGTCTCCTACCCCGCCCCAGCACGTCTCTCACCTCGCTCTCGCCCGTGTCTCACCTCGCTCCAGTGCTGGCGCGGCAGCCAGGCCTGCAGGGCGAGCCGGGTCCGTTCTGGGGTGGCCGTCGGCCGACGCACCCAGCCGAGCCGGTTGCTGATGCGGTGCACGTGGGTGTCCACCCCTGCCGCACGCGATCGTCGGCACCCACAGCCGGAGCGTTATTATCGGCAACACTAGCAGCCGACAGTACCCAGAGAAGCCAAACATGCACTGAATAGGACTGCATACCGATATGCTAGCAAGTCGCCAATAATATTTCCCATAGTGCTGTCCACATATTCCATAGTCGCGAGTCGCACCAGGCGCTGTTCCCGCGACTAACGAGCCGCCAGCTTGGGAACAGTGGTGTTGGAAAAGATGGGGACTAGAGCGACGGCGCTGCGGACATCGACCGGATCCACCAGCACCAGGCGCGCCCACTCAAGACAGCTCAGAAGCAGGTCGATATCGAGGCTGCACTATGGCAACAGCACAGCTAAATCAACTAAATCAGCCTAAAATTCACCTCAATCAGCCTCCCTGCTCACTGCTCACAAGTCCCGCCCCTACAAAACATACACAAACACAAACACGTGAGCAACTGTTCTCGGCCCCACCTATGCCGGAGACCTGCTTCCAGGCGATGTTCATGCAGAGGTGCGCCATCTTTGGGCCGACGCCGGGAAGCTTGCAGAGGCTCTCGACAGATGGCGGTATATCGCCCGCGTACTCGTCCTGCAGTATTCTGACTGTCTTTTTCAGGTACTCTGCCTTCCGCTGCGAAACGTAAAGAAAACACATGGGAAAAACGTGCCGGCATACCACGCATAGGAAAAACTGTCTGCCACACATAGTCTGCTTGCGTCCGGCACCCTCAGAAAGTCATACAGTCTCGTATAGCGTAATGTCCATAGAGAACCGTAAACGCACATAACTATCTGGACTGCATTCCCTACAGCAGCGCGGTTCATATATCCCGGTCGAATTAGGTCACTTTGGAAACAATCTCCGAGGGTGAAAAATTGTTCACAGCGAACGTTCAGCGACCCAATTTGTCATGCTTCGTCATCACATGGTGTGTGTAGTTGATATTTTAGGTCGACACCGCCAATCTCCATAGCAAAAGCAGTCTGATGAGCAGCGGCCTGTCACCAGCACGATGTGACGGAAAGCTAAACGCGAGGTACATAAGTCAATCCTGCTTTTCATAACCATGTCATACATTACAATGCGGTTCGGCTCAATACCACAAACACGCACCGAACATAAACCTGCCAGCTTTTCCAGTTTAGCCCACCCCAGCCTACCAGCCCCCCCCCCCCCCTCCCCCACAAGCGCACTGACACGCGGCCCGCAACTACAACAACCGCACCCCACACGAGCACCCGCCGCGCCGCACTCACCCGCCAGAAGCCGACGGGCTTGATGAGCTGGGCCAGCTGGCCCTGGTCCACCTGCAGCAGCCAGGGCACGGACAGGCCGGCCGCCTTCAGCCGCGTCATGGCAGCGTGATTGATCTCGTCACGTGTCTGGCTGGAGAGCATCAGCGAGACCAGCACGTGCAGACGCGCCAGCTGGGGACGCCGGGGGCAGGCGGGGTCACGGGGCGCTCGTGACGGATCAACAGGGACAAGCGGGCTCGCTGGGGTCAGCTGGGGTCGGGTTAAGAGGTCAGTGAGGTCAGTTGGGTTCGCAATAATCTCAGGCCGCCAGGGCTCAAGTGGGGTCAGATATCAGTGACAGTGGCACATTTAGATAGGCTCATTGGGGCGAACAATACTTAACATATTTCATTATCCTAATGAACAGCATAATTACGAAAATAAGGACAGATAGTTAAGTATTCGCCACCCACCCTACATGCTTGTTGTTTGCAGTACTGGTATTCTGACAGCCTCGCACAAAGGCACGGACAGAAGCCGGGCACGACACCTATCAGTGTACCACCTAACAAAGCTTAGCTAAACACACACAAATAGGTTACTTCACGCCGACCCAGCTGCTCCAGCCGTTGGCACTACCACGCTGGCAGAAAAAGCGCCAGTGAAATCGACACGAACGTTCGAAGGGAACTTTGCGCACACCTCTGAGCCGCGCGTATCTGACAGACCGGGAGCCGTGGCCCTGGCACGGCAGCCGTTCACGACACGGCGCACGCTCGCGGCGGCAGCTCGCCGGCCCGTCCCGGCAGCCCGCCGGGGTGCCCGCCACCCGGGAGCACCCACCTCGGGCGTGACGACCTGGGGATCGGCGGCGAACGACTCGGCGCCCATCCGATCGACGGCGGCGTCGCGGGCCGCGCGCATGCTGCGCACGTTCTCCAGCACCTGCTGCCAGCCGGCTGGGCACCAGTCCTCGATGTCGGGCACGCAGGGCTCGGCCGGCGGGGGGCCGGGCTCGGCTTCGGGCGGAGAGACCGGTCAGCTGGTGGAGTTCCGATGATAGAGATGATAGATGATAGACCGCTGATAGGGTTCGTGGCGGAAGCATAATTTGAAGTGCAGAGCAGGTATGCAGCTGTGCATTATATGCACACTATGGGAATGGAACCATGAAAACGTAACATCATCCTTAGTGTTCAAATCATTTGACGAGTTAATTTCGGATGATAGTGGTAGTATCACGCTAAAACTTACGCCTATAAGACAAGGAGGCGTCACTTGAGGAGCGGATGGTAATAACAAACGTGGCATGTGGGATGACACCAAAGTGTACAAGAATGGGGCTTGTCACCTTTAGAACCCTATATGAAAGGCACGTATTGCTACACTGGAATAACCTCCACTCATAACCTAACCAGGTGGAAAAGCACTGCTGTTTAGCAATCACACACAATGCTATTATGACATTGCTGGAATATTGGTTCGCTTTCGACCTGTCCAGGCCCGACCACTGGGATGGATAAGGCCGATGAATTTGGGCGTTTTTCCGAATGATCGTTGCTTAAGTACTGGGAAGCATGCTACATTTTTGGTAGTTACTGATCACCATGAACTGGGCTATGTGTCTGTGTAGTTCTAATGAGCCAACTCTTACTGTTTCAGGCCAAAGCATATTGTTTTGAGGCCAGTTTCTAAAATTGTGTTACTGGCAGATCGCCTGTCATTACTGCCACATATTTGTGTCAAGCACTGGCGGGATCACTTACTGGACCTGTAGGCCTCTGTGCCAATTAGACCCACTTGTTTGTCCAAGCTGCATAGCTGGCTTCAATATTGCACCTGCTCTGTTACCAAGATCTGATATCGCCCGAGCCCCCGGGTCCAAAATCAACACAAAATGGACAAATCCAAGGCTTCTGTCAAGTCAAGAGGGAATGGCATTTCCCACAGCATCGACCTACATGATTCCTTGCTCAAGTTTACCACACATACTGGCTTCATGTTTGCTGCCTGTATGGAAAAGACATAAATACATAAAGATATAAAGGTATCAGGCCAACAAAGACCTATAGAGGGCCCACTGAGGTTGGCCTACCTTAGGTTCCATACACATACTCAAAACTAATAACCTGACCTACATAAATTGAGCTATAAATGAGATCTTTTTTGTTGTTGCCAATCCCATTTATCACCCTAGTTGCTTCTTGCTGTACTATTTCCAGTCTATCTGTGTCTTTTTGGAAGCATGGGGACCAGCCTGCACACAGTACTCTAGGTGTGGTATGACATAAGCTGAGAACAATTTTTTGTCAGTATTCCTATTCTTATAATGGGCATTCCTGTTACAAGCCCCAGTGTCTGAAGAGCATTATTCCTAGGAGCACATTGTTTTTCACCCTTTAAATCCCAGAAGTTATAACCCCCTAAGTCCTCTTCTTCCTTGATCTGGTCTAGTTCTTGGCCTCCCATTTTATTACTAATGCTGTCACTGCTAAAATTACCCAAAGGCATTTCCTTACATTTAACATAATCAAATCACATCTGCATAATGAAGTGACATCTGCACATTGGCACATTGATGCACTGAATGGCACATTTTCTCTCCCGCCAGCATTGGCTAGCTTCATATTCTCCTGTGATGGCTGCTGGCCAAGATCAGAGCCTGTTTGCAGCCCATATTCTTCAACCAGTTTAAACCAGTCCAAATTTTCGTGTTACCCATCTTAATTAAGTGGGGAAGTGAAGGTTGGTGACATGGCAGCATTTCAGGAATATGCCACCTGCTTGAAAAAGTCACAAGTCAATACCTTGAAAATATCATGGCAGAAATTTTTACCAATCATGCTACTAAAAGCTAATTATGCTGTTAAAAGAAGCACAGTCACAAAAATAGGAGAATAGGCAGTGCATTAAGCTTGATTATAATGACAAGACAATATTGGATATAAATGTAATCTACTAACACACCATTTATCTTTTTCCGCAGCTTGCTGGCCAGTGGTGCATCAGGTTTGCTAGACTGGGTGGGCTCCTGGCACTCTTTTTTTGGACCTCCAGACTCATCAGCTACATCTGGTGCCCTTCTCTTCTTCACCATCTCCATCTGGAGTGACCGACCACAGAGATGCCACAATGGGAAGAGATGATGCTGCTTGGTTGATGATGCTATTACAGAAAATATCTGCAAAACTCCAGACTGGAGCAAACAAAATATTAATACAGTTAAGCTGGAAATGGCTGTCAAAAGGTACAAAACAGTGACACTTATAGATAACAATGACTTCAAAAACATATGCAAACCAAATCTAGGTTGATAAATATCAAAAACATAGATCAAGCTGCCCATCACTGATTTTGGTAGCCTTCTGATTGATTCAATAAGCATTCAGTCAAAATACCTACTCAATCATAACACCAATACACTGCATCACACCATTCTGTTAACTTTATTGTGACATGACAATCAAAGTAGTGGAAAACATGCATGAATCTTACTATAGTCAGAAAATTACGTCCAAAACTAATCTATCAATCGTATTACAGCATCGTCAACTTACACGCATGTGTTGCCACGTTCCTAAAGAAGGAAAAAACAGACTCCATGACCACTGAAGACCAGCAACATCGCTGGTCGCCACGCCCACCAATTACCATCAACTGGATAGGACGATCAGTTGCTAATTCAACAGGTTAAGCACCAAATCACGCACGACAGTTTTTGCCCCCAGCCCATTCATCAAGCTCCAAACTGTACGGGTATTTTGAGTTTCACCGCCTTAAGCCCGGCACGTTTTGATGATTTTGTTATTTGTTGTTCTGCCACTTTTGTCTTCGCCGCGTGTGTTTACTTTCGATGATTTGGCAGTAATACGGCTGACTACCAGATGAAGGAAAGGGAAAGATATGCCCTGCACTGTACGTAGTTTACGCATTGTGTAGCTTGAAATTTTAGTGAAGATGGTCCGGTTATCTGGTATTTGGGAGAAAGTATATCCACATCGTCAACGTCATACGCACACAAATGTGTCTGGTGCAGACAGAGTAAGGCATATGACATTTTGTCATCGAACGTTACAAAATTTCGAGGAGCAGGAAGCAGCGCAGGCAGGGGGCAAAAGGGGCAAGGGCACCCCCGCGGCCCGCTTCAGTTCAGAGAGACATTTTGAACACTTCGGGGCCTACGATTAAGAGCCCATTCCGGGCGGAGATCGCATTCAGGGACTCAGCCTGCATGGCCGGGCACTTCAATGCCATTCGGAGGGCCCTGCGCACTGATCACGGGCCCCTGGGTCGATAAAGGCCTGCATGTCGATCAGACACCACCGCTAGCGCACAGTCGGCACACAAAGCAAAAGTCACCGATTTACATTGGTCAGGGGCCCAGCATCTGCCAGGGCCCCACAGCGCCTAATAGAGGGTCCTGTGCCGGCAAGGGGCCCGAGTCGGCCAGAGGCAGTGTTCAAACAGGCACGAAGAGCCTGGAGGGCCCACCGAGAGCGATGATTAAGGGCCCGATTCGAGGGCTTAAAGGGGATGTTTAACATTTGAAGATATTGAGGCAAACATCAGATATGATGAAACAAGCTCGCCTACGACATTGGTATATTTTTAAGTAGAAAAGACTGTCCAAGGCAATACAAGCCCTCTCTTCAGTAAATATGCTCCAAGTAACGTCATTCTTTGGTTGCGTCATCGTACCTTGCAAAACATTGATTGAGAGCCAGCTGACGCTGTTTTATCTCTAGATCGTGCTCACGAAAACCACTTATGAAAGACTCAACCATGGTATTTTCTTGGTCTTGATCGCCGCATGGCTTAGGGAGTGGCAAGGTTTGAATGACGCTATTGTGGCGTCAGGAATCCCAGTCCCAAGGTGACCTTGAAATACTCTCCCACATCTTAGCTGCCTCTAAGCTCGGGAACCATTGCATTTTAAGTCTTAAAATGGGCATGGCTGTGAGCTGCATCAAAAGGTCTTCAATACGGCCATTTTAGTTCAAAGACCCATACAAATGTGGAACATGTCCTTAAGGGCACGGAGGGCTGGTCGGGTCTCACTTAGGGGCACCAGCCTCCGGGGACGGGCCCTCAAATGACAGTTAAATGTGATTTGCGCCGATCGGGGACCCCCTGAGTCGATATGGGCCTATATGTCGGCCAGGCACCACCAGCACCGCACATTCAGCTCCGTGTCTTGATGGGCCCAACGGTCCACTTCCCAATCAGCTACAAAGCCAGGCCCAGCCATTTACATTGGTTGGGGCCCCTGTAGCTGTCCCAACAGAGGGTCCTGTGTTTGCAAGGGATCCCGAGCCGAACAAGACCAGTGCTCGATGGAGCCCAAAGGGGGGCCCGAAGGGGGCCCGGGCATCCAATTGGAACCGACAATCAGGGGCTCGATTGGAGGGCATAAAGGCGTGAAGTACTGGCTGTAGACCACATGAAAAATTGCGACCCATCGGGTCCTCAAAACCTAAGGTGACCTGAACTATCAGTCAGAGATCCTCTTCCACCGTGCGACGACCCCTGAGACAATGCGGAAGTCTCGGTTGGCCAGGGCCAACGAACACCAAACAGTTGGCTTCCTGTCGCTCTGAACCCTAGGGGCCCATTTTCTAGAAAGGAACAAGGCTGGGGCCCCGACTTGCATTGGTCTGGGTCCCTGAAACAATGATTGGGGCCCCTGTGTCGGTCAGGGGCCCATAGTACATAACTGGGGGCATGTGTCGGCTAGTGGTCCCCAGTCGGTCGCAGGCTTTGTTTGAGGAGGTCCGAAGAAAGGCCGAAGGGCCCCTCGGGACCAAAAATGAAGGACCCGGTTACAAGGCTGAAGGACCTGAGGTCACGTAAATGACTGGAAGGGTAAATAAAAGCCCGTATCATAATTTATAGCTAGGGTGTCCGTTGTAACGACTGGGGACCCCACAGAGCGTCCCTCTATTTTGGTCAGAGATCACCAACACCGAGCAGTCGACTCCGTGTCGGTTTGAGCTCTTGGGCCCATTTCTTGAGCAGTGTCAAGGCCGGGCCCGCGATTTACATTGGTCGGGGCCTCTGCAACAATGTAGGGCTCCTATATTGTTCAGGGTTTCACATTGCCGAACAAAGTATTCTGTGTCAACAAGAGGCCTCGAGTCGGTCAGGGGAGCATTTGCTGAACGGGGACGGGGACGGGACGCCGGGTGACAAAGGACCTTTTGCGTTGGTCGGGGCCCTCTGACAACAAAAGGGAGCAAATAACTTATGATGAGTGCTCACACTAACACAATGGAAAGGCTCTGTGTCCGCCAGGGCCCCCGGTACCAAACGGTGAGCCCCAGCATGGACCCGTTAAGCCGATCTGGAGCCCATGCGCCAATTATTGAATCACCTGCGGCGATCAGGGACGCTATTGCGTCAATGAGGGCTCCTGCGTCGATCCGGGCCAACTGTCCGGGTCAGAAGGCCCCCCGCGTAGGACCAATACGACGTGATGTATCCCTCTAAGGGCCTCCGGATCAACCAGGAGATCCCGGCCCGTGTCGCCAAAAAGGCAGCAGGAAGACACCCCGCATTGGAACGGAATGGCCCTTGAGCTCTTGACCGGGAACAATGATGTGCCCCCTTGTGTTCTACTCAAGAGGCCCTCTTTGTCTAAAAAGAAATCAGGGTCTTATTAGTGTAGAACAGATTGGGTCAAAATAAGTTAAAAATGAACAAGACTTCCTTATGTTTATGTGAGAACGTTCATTCTTTGCAGAATCGGTCAGTGAAACAAATTTCATCAAAAGGGCTGAGGATGCGCGCCCACAGTCTCGGGAGCAGGGACAGCGATGGTCTGGATTGCAGTCCCGTGAAACCGAATGGGATGGCCACTGCAAGTAACACCACGCGCCCCGCGCGAGAGCGGCCGTCGTAAAATAATGGTTTCGAATGTCTTTCAAAATTAATTCGTACCGCTCAAAGCCAAGACTGGGCGTATCCTTTTAACGGCCTTGAGGCGGCCCTTTGGACAGATGGGCAGTTGCAGCAACACAAAATAAAGACTCTATCCTTCCCTCCCCCCCCCCCACTTCCACCACCAGATTCCAGCCAGCATCACTTCGTGGTTCCGTAATGCTAATCCGTTAGGACACCGATCGAAAAAAATCGCTCCGGTGAAATATACGCCCGGACTATTTTCTAAATATGCGATTTGGTGTCCTAAGGCTTTCAAAAGGGCTTCTTTCAGATGCAGTCATCATTTTCGTCCACCTGTGGCCCACACGGTATAATGCTAGCCTCGGAGCCGACGCTGGCGGCCTATGGAGGCTGCAACGCCCGACGTCGAGTTTTTTCTTCTAAAATTTGCGTGCGCGCATGCTCAAAAGAACGTGCATAATTTACATCACTAACCGATTCTGACTTAGCGTTGAACCTTTCCAGCCAAACACAACTTGGTCAAGTTATTATAAATTGTTGACCCACTTTCAACCCACAATCTGCATTCGCGGGTTCCTTAATATCTCTGTAAAACCCAGAAAGAAATTATGATGAAGCCTATGAGTTCAGTCGGTTTAGAAAGAGTGCTCTGGATCATTCTAAAATTGAGAGCGCCGGCGATTCATCTTCATGCAATCGCTTAAGGCATCATATGTTCAATTCGCTGACTATAAGATTTAGTCAGAGTATATCTCGCGTAGCCTCATGCTTCTCTTCCAGTTGTAGAAGGAAAAGTTGAGAAAAATATCAACGAAAGAATGCCCTCATTAAAAATGGGCCACATCCGGCAATTTGCCTTTTTCTTTTTTGAGGGGGAGCTTTTTCACAATTAGCGGGCTCTTTGTCAACCCTGTGCCCCCACTTCTGCCAAGGCCCTGGCTGCGCGCTCGGAGCGGGGTTCCATGAAATCATTAGCATAGGCAGTGGGCCCCGTCTTCTTAAGTTTTGCATATTATTGTCCCACGTTTGCCGTTTCCATAATCTCATCATACTGTGAAACAACGCTGTCTCGGCCGGAACTGAATGCATACCAAAAATACCTCGCCAGCTTCCGGCACATTCTTTCGCCCACGGATGTATAGGGAGGATATGAGTAGAAAGCTTTGCGTCAATTGCAGCTTTAACGGTCTAGCTATGACAGCCAAACTTTTCTACTGGCACCATCCGTAACTGTATTTCCTGTCCGATCGGACTTTCAGACGGCTGCAGCGGGAATCCGCAAAAGTCGATTGTGAGAAGAGGCAGTAAAAGTAGTCCAATAACGATAATTCAGTCGTTCCGGCTGGTCAGGCCGTACCGGGGTAGTGGGTCTTCAGTCCTCTATAATACTC